AATCGTAAAGAAGCATTTTGACATCAGAGTTTGTCCCCACATAAGTACAAAGGCATTGTTAACTAAGCTGCCTCTCTTACCTTTTTTATTGTTGTTCTTGTCTTATGGGATCTTGGGATAATTTTTCTATATTTAGAGCTATGGATGGATAGATGCCACTTTCTGGCACTTTATTTTAATAGGCTATTTTTTCAGACACTAAATTTTGTATTCAGGAACAAGTCATCGATAGCCAGAACTTATTCAGCTAGCCTTGAAACAGAGACTCTAATTAATATCATGAACACATGAATAGTGATAACTACTGAGCTAAACCTTCACTCCTAGTGTACTTAATTTATGAAGTAATTCTATCCTTTTTCTCCTTGAAGGATCTCAAGGGAGTTGCCATCAGGTTTTCAAGATGCTGAAACTTGCTCCTTAATTATTTCTGCTCATTCTTTTCCCACTAGGGCTCGCCCCTGCTGCCATTCACCCCAGCCAGAACACTGTCAAAGAGCCACACACCAAAAGGACCTTTCACAGTCTATGCAGAACACATTCAGTTTAGAATTCTGGGAGCTGCTCAAACCCTGTGGGCAGCATTTTACGTTGGCTTAGCAACTGGAAGGTGCGAAGGCTCCAGAAAAGAGAAAGGAACCGGTCTCTATCTCCCTTGGTTGTCTGCTTCATTATTATTCCTCAGTGCACTACAGATCCTTCTAAGTGCTCCTCTTTCAGCCCTGGGCTGGTCATTCCAGCAAGCCTGGGAGAGGACCACCCGGACAGAGGCCACTGATCCACTTCATTTCTCTGTGCTCTCCAGTCCTGACCAAGTAAGGCTTTGCAGCCACACTGCTATCCTGCCAGCCTGTGGCCCAGCTACCAGCATGAGAAAGAAAGAAGCAGCGCCCTGACTCCTCCCCACTCTGCTAAGGAGCTTTCCCAGCTCCCTCTGTGTCTTAGAGAAGTTTGAAGGAGAGCAGAGCTGCCTCTGCTTGGAGGAGGATGAGGTGGGCATCCTGACAGTGGTGGTCCCCATGCCTAGGTCTTCCTGGAGTGCAGGGGGATTAAGGCAGTTAACCAGTTAAGCAGCCAGGAGTCCTCTCACACCTACCCTAGGGGCCTCCTGTAGGCCTCTTGATGTGAATGCATTACCATCCTCCAGGAACACACACGCATACACACACAGACACACACACACACACACACACACACACACACACACACACACACAGGGGAGCAAGGCTCCCACTTTCAACCTGATTTTGCCCATGTAAATTTCAGGCCAGTCTGACTTTCTAGAAGAAATTAAAACGTCCGGAAGAAAACAGATGGGAGGGGATGCACTGACACCTGTCCTGACTGGGGTGGGGGAGGATGATGCTCCAAGCACTCAGGTCACCCCCTAGAGTGCATCACTGATGCTTCCCCAGGGCCCTGCTAATGATGTGAAGGCCGTGTGTGTGTGTGTGTGTGTGTGTGTGTGTGTGTGTGTGTGTTACTTTGTGCTTTGAAATGTTCCCTCACCTCCTGATGGATCACTAGATACCCTTTTGTGACCTGCCTAGTAAGCCTATGGCCTTGAGGGTGAGAGTGAGTGTGTCTGTCCCTGAGATGTCCAGGCTGGGTCACCGACTGGTGAAACATGCTGGGCCCATGGGGGATGTGGCTCTCCCTCACCCCCACATGGACACTGGCAACCCTTCCTGGAAGGAAAGAGGGACAGAACAGGACCTGATCCCCATTCATACAGAAGACCTCAGTGGCAGGAGTGTTACTTCCCTGAAGGCCCAGAGCAGAGGCCTTGTGCCTCCTGGAGGCCCCAAGGAGACCAGCGTGAACCCCTGGGAACATCCCATGCTGGGGTTCCACTGGATGCTGCTCTTGTGGCACCTGCTGCAGACCTTGGGCTGCGCTTGGGTCCTGGGTCTCTGTGCTGCGTGTGCTCCCATGGGATCCCGGCATGAGGGTGGGAAAATCGCCTGGGATCTGCTGTGGGCGGGACGCTTAAGGGAGACTTGGAGATTCACAGTCTCTGTCTGGGTTAGAACTAAACAGACAGGCTGCAACTGAGAGCTGCATCACAGAATATTCTCTCTCTCTCTCTCTCTCTCTCTCTCTCTCTCTCTCTCTCTCTCTCTCTTGCCTTGCCCTGCCACCGTCTCCCTCTCCAATTTGATGCCCTTTGCTTAACATTTCCGATGAAGAGAAAATGCCCAAGGAACATTAGCTCCCCTTCCAGCCCCACCACGAGATCTAGGCCTCCAGGAAAAGTCCACTTTATTGTCCACTCCGAGGCGTTCCCTCCTACTGGACCTCTTTGTCCTTGCCTCTGCGCACAGAGGTGAGGGGGTGGAGGCTGAGAAGGGCAGGGGTGGGATCCTCCTGCCCAGGCTGCCCCCACGTGTGCCTCCCACTCCGGGAGTCGTGGACCTCGCCAGGGTTAGAACCCAAAAGGGCTCTGAAGAGCTCCCCAGTCCAAACTCTTCCGTGGAATGGAAAGCTGGAAAGCCCAGAACAAACTGCGTGCTAGCTGGACAGAGGAGGATGCTGAAGGCTTTGCAGCCACCCTGGTGTCCAGGAAAGCCTGGCACTGGGGTGAGATTAAGGATAGAAGGATAAGGAGAACATCAAGCAACTGTCAGAATTTGCACTGTCTGGTGATGGTGATTGTGAATCCACTGAGAGAATTCAACCTATGGAAGTTTCTCGGGATTTGTAGACCATTTCCCAAGTTAGGAAATACAGGAGATGCCTTGCAAGTACCAGCGTGCGCCGTGGACGACTTCACTGGCATTACAAATGTGTGCAAGGTCTGGAGATGTTGATTCCTCAGGGCACGCTGTGCCATGCCTCAATTTCCTGATGTCCCCAACGGTCAAATACTCTCAACGGAGCTTGGAGATCTGGGCTGAAAGTGCAGGAGCTCTGGCTTGAGGGCAGTATTCCCCAAGTCAGGGCCTTTCAGCAAAAATGAACGCGCCTTTCCTTTCCGGCAGCGCGTTTGATTGGGAAACTACGGTAGGCGCCGACAGCCGGGCTGTAATTGCAGACTGTGGAGCTCGGGTTGCCTGGCTGGCAAGCTTGCCAAGCTTGGGAGACTCACTCTCCACGCAGCTGCCCCCCAAAATGTGTTTGGGCTCAACAGGTATCATAGAGAGAACTCGTGCTTAACCCCGGTCCTCTACGGGAAGGAGACCCCCCTCCTCCCCCTGCCTGTCCCCGCGTCTTCTTGCCAGGGTTGTCGCTGTCTGAAGCTCCCCACGCAGCGCGCGCGTCTAGCAGGCGGCCCAGGCTCATCCTCAGCCGCGACTCCCAAGCGCCTGCGTGTGGCTCCCTGCACGTCGAGCCCACGACCAGACCAAAACCCTTGCATGCAGCCTGAGACGCATTTCGTGCACTGGGGAGTGTGGTGGGCGCCGCGGAGGACGAGCGCTGTAGCTCAAAGGTTGCAGGAAAACACACACACACACACACACACACACACACACACACACACACACGCTCGCGCGCGCGCGCACACACACACACACACACACACACACACACACACACACACACTATCCAGCTTTAAGGAGAAGGAGAAGATTGGGGATTACAAGGCAGTTGCTGCCACAGAGACTAGGGCCGACTTCCTGGTATTTAGGACTGGACATTAAAATTCCAGACATGTCACCCATCCATCCATCGTTGGTTGGTCACCGTAAAGGGAGAGGTAACCTCTCCAGTTCCCTCCTCCTGAAACATGAATTATCATTTCTACGGAATGCAAATGCACTGCCGAGGGGGGACAGCCAGCTGCAAGCTGGACAATACGCTGCTTCATAGAGACGCGGCCGGTTGCGGTTCCGAGGGGCGCTCTGGTACAAAGGCAGAAGCGTCCGGTCGGTGTTGACAGCCGCGGCACGCCTGGGCCAAAATCGCCCTGCACCCCCAACACCCAGACACACGGGATTTGAAACTAGCTCCACGGAAAGGGCCTTCCAGCCAGTCTGTGGGAGCTGTCAGGAGGAGCGATGGTTCGAAGAGGATGGCGTGAGTCATAAACAGCTCCTTGAGTATTCTGGGAGCAATTAATGGGCAGCAGGGCGCAGGAGAAGTTGTGGGAGAGACGTGGAGATCCATCACCCCCACTCCCAGGACAGCTCTTCTTCCAGGATCCTGACTGCCCCTTGGCTTCCTGCTTAGGAATAAATTTTGCATCCCACCCACCCTCCCGTCGTCTGCACATGTGACACTCTACCTGTCTGAACACCGAGACTTGCTGAGGGTGTTCTCTTTGGTCATCAGCTAATGACTTTCTCCCCTTCCTTCACGCACCCTGAAAGGTGGATCTTTATATACTTAGGTGGCATCGCAGACCCTTTTAACACCTCATCTTCCCCCCCAAACCTTTTATCACAAGACCCAAGAAAGCTCCCCTGCATTTGTCACCATCGCAGAGGAGCCCACGTAGAAATAATTCCAGTATTATGCAGACCTTCGCCACATCGGTGTGGCAGTGCTTGGAAGACCCCCATCTCCTACTGCATATAAAAGCGATGCCTTCCCAGTACATCCGTAACTTTGTCCCCAGAAAGGGTTAACAAGCATTTACAACAGTGTTTCTAATATAAATAATCCACCCGAAGCATCAGACCCCAGGGATCCCACTAGAAACCAAGGTAATCCTCGCCACCAAGAAAAGTCTTGCAGAGGAATTCTGTCTGGATATCCACTAGTTAGAGGCTATACGAATCAACTCACGTATTCGTTTGAGCATACTGCAAGAATATTTATTGAGCACAAGCTCAATCACCGCATTGAACGCCAAATCTGGCAAGCAAAATGCATTTCCTATCCGAGGGGGAGAGGAAAAAGAGAGAGAGCGAGCGAGCTGTGAATCAACTCCTTCATCAGAATTATCATGATCATTTTATCGGTGCAAATTGCAAAGTAAGCTGCCAGCCTCGCTCAGGCGACAAGTCAGCCCACCTCCATCCAAAGCAGAGGGGACCCCTCAGCTCGGGAGACCTTACCTTTCGCACAGGACACCGTCAGTAAAAAGACGAGGTTCCAAAACGTAAATCCACTTTTCGTCCCCATTTTCTTCATCAGGAGGAAGTCGAGGCGGCCACATCTAGCGCATGTCCGCGTGCCAGGCTCCCGGGGCTCGGATGCCTGTGCTGGGCTTTCCCCTTTGCGGATCCCTCGCATGTTATTCGCCAGCTCCTAATTCCTGCTGCTCAGCCCAGCCCGGCGCAGTGGAGTTGTTGCTGTTGTTGGTGCGCGGTCACAGCTCGGAGTGAATGGTGTTTCTGGGATACCACAGCAACCTTGACGAGGACTCAACCATCTCTCCAACGGGGGCACAAAGTCTCCGCTACTCTGGATTCGGTCTTTCCCTGCGCGTTTTTCTTCTCCTCCACCAAAACCCACCTCGATGATCCTGCCTCCTCACGGCGAGCACCAGTGAGCCTCTGCTTGCAGCCCCGCTGGCTCTCTGGGAAACTCCCCCCGCAGTATGCGCGATGAAGGGGTTTGGTGATTTTTTTTTTTTTTTTTTTTCCTTTCTTCCCTCCCCGAATAGATCAATGCTGCCTGTAAAAAGCAGCCCAAGAAATATTATGGTAGCGAGCTCTCCAGAGCTGCCTGCGAACGCCGAGGCCAACGCAGGGAGCGCTGCGCCCGCGGGTGTGCGTGGCTCTCGGGGAGGCGGCGATGCACGCGCACGGGGCTCGGCGAGGCTCGCGTGGGGACCGTGATTGTGGGGCGGGTGTCCCTACGGTGGTCACGGCGCCTCTCAGCAGGCGCCTTGCGCTGATCAGCCTCTGTTTTAATTGCAAAGAAGGAAAAAAAAAAAAAAAAACAAGGAAAAAAACCGCAGAGAGGAACTGACTTGTACACGTGTATTTGCATATTCAGACACCTAGGTGCAAATCCGTGGCCGGGATTTTAGACTTTAATCAGGAAACATATCGCACTCCCGGCCCGGCAGGGTGCTGGAGGGGTGGGAGTGGAAAGGGCTGGGGGAGTCAGAATCCTTTCCATTCAGGCTCCAAAAGCGCCGATTCGACTGCTGTGTACCGCAGTCAAACTACTTTCTCGGTGGTGGTTATCTAGAACACACTCATTTGTCTTAATTCTGAGTCGGTCCCCAAAATGTAAATGGGAGGTTTCTTTCAAAAACGAGCATGTATATATCTATACATCTGGGCCCCGAAGCTCCCCGCCCCGCAAGGGTTAAAATGGTGCAAAGGAAGAGTTCTTGCGCCATCTACTGGTGCTCCCCAAGCCACCTGCTTCTCCTGCACATCTACCAGGGACCCTGGCACTCTGCTTCCAGGGTCTCCTAGAGCTCCTGAGTCCCTGAGGCCAGGGTGTTGGGCCCGTGTTTGCCAAGCGCCTCATCTATTCCCGCAAGGCCCTGGCCCTTCCTTTCGACAGTCCTGTTCCCCAGGCGGGCGCCCGACGGATAGGTGACCTGACCCTTCGGGAAGCAGGGCCCCTCTCCGGAGCGAAGAGCAGGGCTGCAGGGCTGGTTCTGGAATAGGGAGTTGCTGCTGCCTGTGGTTCTAGGTGCACGCCGAGCTACGAGCTTTTTCCTACAGGATTTCGTCTAAGAACTGACCAGTTTGAATTTTGCAACTCTCCACCTTTCCTAAAAATAAAGGATCTGGGTCCCCTACACCACACAGGCACCTGGTCAGCTTTTGTTCGCAGGGTTCGCGCTGGAACTGCCTGCTCAGTGAACCAGGCTGGTGATTGCATCCCGTTCTCTGGCGAGGGGACACTCTGCGAGTGCCCATAGCGTGAGTGGCCAGTGAGTTCAGTGGACCAGAAGGATTTTGAGTTCTGGAGGTCGGTGGCACTGTGGGTCTGACTGTCTAGAGGGGAGAGACGGAGAGAGGAAGAGAAAGAGCAGGCGCTGTAGTGAAGGGCAAGGGTGCCTGCGTGTGGAAGATGACAGTGTGCTTTCTGTGCGAAAGTGTGCTTTTATACTAAACCCACTTGTGCATGCGTGTGCTAGGGAAGAATTTCTCTCTTGGGCAGAGATAGACGCAGGTAAGGCTGCCGAAGCCCAACTGACCTCATTAAATTGGAAGAGGCACGTTTAGGAGCTGGGTGGAGGACGACTGTCTCTTCCTGCCTGTGCCCGCTGCTTGGGGAGGTTTTAACTCTGAGTCAGGGACGAGGCTGGGACAAGATCGTGATTGGGAGGATCGGCAAGGAGAACGTCGTGAGCTGCTAGCCACCATGGCAGCTGCTCCCGGGTTCATTTCAGTCAAGATGTCAGGCTATGTTTTGCTGTTGCTTTTGCTGGGAGGAGGGAGTTAGATGCGAACAGGTTCCTGGTCTTAAGGAGGATATACAACAAACCCTCCTAAGAGAGAGTGCTGAGTATCTCATCTCAAGGCGATTCCCCTAAAGTAACCTTGGGCTTCTGCCATCTACGTCAATATGTGACTAAAGAGTCAGACTGAAGGACTTTAAATGACTCCATTTCTCATAAATCAGTGGCCTTTTCATTGCTAATTATGGGATAAAAAACGAAGTTTGATTATGGTAACAAAGACTGTTGCCAAGATACCAATTTCTCATATTTATTTGCAAACATATTGCTAATCCTATAATCCAATTATTTTTCCCAAATGATTTCTGACTCTCATTTCAATATGAGGCTGGTAAAAATTGTATCTAGTAGCTTACAATACATGGAACAATACTATAGTTTCTAGTTTCTATGGCTCAAATAAGTCACAAACTTTTTACTGTCATCTTCCGGGATTGAGACAGGATCAAAGATTAAGTTTTACAGTCAGAAGGAGTTAAAGTAAGAGAAAAAGAAGTGGTTTACCCAACATCATCATCAGAAGCTGTAGCTTTTAGTCCAAAACATTTAGTGCTAGAACCACATGTACCTTTTGTGTTCGGTGGTTTTGTCCTCAAGGAAACATTTCTTTTCCAGAAACAAAAAATTATCAGCTGAAATTCCAAATGTGTAGTTCCTTTGTTTCTCCCAAAATATAAGAACTATATTTGTGAGGAAGGTATCATCTATTAGAGCCAGTCTGTAGGAAAGCAACACACTGGAGATTAGATTTGTTTGACTGCTCAATGAGAAAATAGGGGAAAAATATCTAACACAGTAGCAAACATTAAGTGCTTATGGTATATCATGGTTCTGTGTTCGTGAAGTGTATCTTAATCCTCAGTAAAACAGTTGAGACGACCACTGGAGTTATCCTCATTTTATAAAGGACAAAATCGATTGATACCTGACAAAGTTAATTATCTTGCTTGGTCAAAAGTAACATTTATGGGAAAATATGACCCTAACATGTTTGAGTTGTAAGGCATTATCCTTCCTTCTGTACTATGTTTCACAGGCCTGGTCAAAGATTCTTGTTTTCAATGTCTAACAACACACAAAAAAAGATTTTCATAGTTAAGCTTCCCATGGAATCATAGCAAAGCAAGGATTAATAAGATAATTTGTAAATGATCAATTTAAAACATGCACACATACAAAGAACATCTGTGATTTTTAATCTCTAAAATTTTTTTTCTTTCACTGTTTTATTCTGTTTCTACTTCCCATGGCATGTAGATGTTTTCACATATGGGTCATAGAAAAAAGTTATTTGGTAGAATTCATCGAGATCATCAATGTTTAAGAACCTTTAAGAGATTTGAAAATGTGGGCCAGGAATGTAGCTCAGTGGCATAAATGCCTGCCTTGCAAGTGCACAGTCCTGAGTTTGATCCCTGGCACAAAAAAACACAACAACAACAACAACAACAAAAAAAAAACCAAAACCCTGAAATTTGAAAATGTTAATTCGAAAATGTTTAGGAACAGATTCTACCAACTGGAAGTGTCAATTTTCTTTCCTTTTGAGTCCCCCCCACAAATACCTATAGAATGAAATTGATGTTGGCTTTAATACAGGTTATGAATTGCCACTAAAACAGAGAAAATAAGTTCCCATTAAAAATTACCCTCTATTAATATAACCCCTCAAAATTTATGTACTGTTGGTGTTACTCAGCAATATTCCATGCAAATGAATAAAATGACCAAAACAAAATGGTCAAAATATATGTCCTTAAGAGCTATAAAAGTATCCCCAGGTTTATATGAGACTGATTACTCATGTAAAGTCTATTTTGTTTTAAGCATATCTCTATTAAGGTTGAGTGCCCCTAAGTATACTTATCCATTTTTAATTAACAGACTCAAATTCAAGCCTGGATGAGAGGGATAAAATTTTAAAAATTGCTAGAGTAAAATAAGATTTCTAATGATATGCAAATAATCAACTAGGTATTTTTCTGTTCCTTCACAATTTATTGTTTCTGCCTTTATTTATATTTCATTGAATTCACTTCCAGGAAAGAAGGAAAAAGAGGCACTGATTTTTCACATTTAAAAAAAAATATTCATTCTTAGATCAGTCATGTTTGCCTTCCCCTGGTCCTAGAAAATAGAATGCCAGGATTTAAAGGTTAACTGTAGAATAATGAGGGAATTCAAATTCAAGTTATGCATTTTCCTCGTTAATAGTAATCCTTATTTTTTTCAGAAGAAAGATAAAGAGACTCAGTAGTCATGATAAAGTCACTTTTTAAAAAGAGAATAATTACGCATAAGAAGATAAATTATCAGGCCTGGATAAATGTATCTGTTCCTGCTGCTGATCAGAAAGGTCCTGGAGAGATGGATACACGTTTCCTGAAGTGCTACCCACTGTGGCTTCATGGGCTGCTTATCTCTGGACTCCTCTGTACCTTTTCATTAATACTGAGACTTAACAAGCATTTCGGTCTTCTTTAAGCTTTTTATCACATTAAGTAAGTCAGACAGTGAAGCTTGCATGGCATGTAAGTGTAATAATATTGTATTTACAAGAGCAAGGCAGCGGAAAGCCATTAAAACAGAAGGTGGTAGTTATGCCTCTGGCCACACAGATGAAATGTTCTGCCACCAAGGATTGTGATATAACACATAAGTCTAATAATTTAGTAGTTTTATCTTCAAATTTTCCCAATTAATATCATTCTTAAAATGGACAATGCAATGTACAATATATATATATATATATATATATATATATATATATATGTAATTTTAAAAATTATATGTCACTCTGTTTCCTTAAAGACTGGTAAATTGTTGGGAAGATGTGGGTAATCAACTTGAAAGAAAAGAAATAGTAATATTGCAGAACTTTCTGCTTGATGTGAGTATACTTGGTTTTCTTCACCATCTGAGATAAATATTTCTTACCTACAGAAATTCTCCTACATAGGAAATTCAGATAAGATAATTTAGCTGAATCTAGCTTTACTAAATAATTGGTATAGTCTTGGTCTCTTTTCTGTGTTTCTCAGTAATAAAGTTGTCTTACTGACATATGAATGGATCTTAATTTTAAGGGTAGCAGATGTTTTAATTATCATTTCCTTAACCTTCATACAGGTATGGAGTATCAATTTAATGTGCATATGAAAATGCACAAATATTGAGAGAATCTAAATCAAGTAGGAACACTTCACAACATATTAAATTTATCAAGATTACTTTCAAAATGCAATGTATATTTGATTTTATACTCAGAAATTATCTGACTACTAATTATTATCTTCTAAATTTTAGTACTTTATTACTACATATTCTTTAAATTTAAAAATTGGTAACATTTTGAGATAATTACATATTATCAGATATTCATAGCACAATAAAACCCTTACTATATTTTGTTTTGT